TTTTTACAGCTTAGACAATGGAGTACCTTTGGAACCCTGGAAGTTATACCTGAGATTGAATCAGTTGCACCGGCATTCTCAGTGGTGACAGAAGATGACTGTGAAATTCTTAAAATCCCTGCAAAGGAATATGCAAAGTTAAAATTGGTATGACCATATCTAATCAATATATGAGCACAATATAGGCATAGATTCTAGCTAAGTTTTGCCTTTCTAGACAAAGATGTCCATATCTTTTTTAATTATACCTTTCCTTCCTGATGTCCACAGGTTTTTGTGGCTTGGATTGCTGTAAAATGTGATATAGTATACCGGACATGTGGTGGTAATGCAAAAAATAGTCTCAGCTTATTTTTTGATTTTAGTTGTTTCTTGGATCTTAATGGTATCTCTTGACCCTTCCTGAAAACGCTGCAGTATAAAAGGGCAATGAGCTTTGGGAAATACCTAAGAAGAAGCACCTTAGGATAAACGTAGCATCACTTGTTTTTTTCTTTTTCTTTCTTTTTTTTTAAAGATGAAGAAATATGGATTATGTGTTGTTATTTGAATGAAGTTTCCCTAGTAGTCTTACCATGGTAGGTAGAGTATGCACAATTGAAATTTTTGAGCTTCATTTACACCAATATAAGTATATTCTGCTATTCTCCATTTGGTAATGTAGCAAACATCTTTTTTGAAAACACACTTTTGATTTTAGTTGTTTCTTGGATCTTAATGGTATCTCTTGACCCTTCCTGAAAACGCTGCTGTATAAAAGGGCAATGAGCTTTGGGAAATACCTAAGAAGAAGCACCTTAGGATAAACGTAGCATCACTTGTTTTTTTCTTTTTCTTTTTTTTTTTTTAAAGATGAAGAAATATGGATTATGTGTTGTTATTTGAATGAAGTTTCCCTAGTAGTCTTACCATGGTAGGTAGAGTATGCACAATTGAAATTTTTGAGCTTTATTTACACCAATATAAGTATATTCTGCTATTCTCCATTTGGTAATGTAGCAAACATCTTTTTTGAAAACACAGAAAGAATGGTGATACTCATTTAAATTTGTTTATTTCAAGGTGGTTTGGATTTTGGTGAGCTCTTCCCACTCTGTAGAGTACTTAGAAGACAAGGGCCACTGTCAGCAGATTTAAATCCACGCCATTAGACAATGCTTATTGTCCATTAATGTTAGTTTCTTTTTGTGAGAAAAATTACCTCTTCCAAATTACTGAAACAAAAAATAGATTTTCAGTGAAAATAGAAAATGAACAGAGGTCAGAAAAATAATAGCAAAGTTAGTGATTTAGTCAGGTGGGTTTTTTTTGTTGTAGTGTGATTTCATACTTGATTTCTAATGCGTTTTGCATAGTGTATAACTACAAAGTAGGTATGTTTTGTAAGGATTCAAAACCGAAGTTGCTAGCATCATTTTGCTTTTGCGTCAGTTAATATTCATAGAGTCCCATTAAATATAAGTACCCTGAGAACATCAAATGTAGATGAAACCATCTGCTAAACAGCATTTCAATAGAAAAACAAAAGAACAATGTCCCATCTCTGGGCTTGACCACTGTCACCCTCGCTGGACCTGTCCTGGGTTTCAGACCTTGACTGCTGGGCTCCTGGCTTGGCTTCTTGGGTTTCTAACTCCTGGTATCTTCTCATTTAATAACGGTTGTTTCCAGTACCTTTTTGTTGTTGTTGTTATTGTTTCAGAAAAAAATCATGTTTCAAAAAATACACAAAAGCAAAGAATATTTAACCACTGAACAGAAGTAAATACTGGTAATATTTTGGTATGTAACCGTCCAGTCTCTTGTATACATGTTCATATTTTAATTTTTTATCAAAAGTAAAGTCATCTTTGACCTGCTACTTATAACCAGCTTATTTCATAACATTATTTTTCTGTGTAATTAAATAACTACATCATTTTGAAAAAAAAATTTGATTTCACCTAGAGACTAGAAAAATATGCCTTATTTGATGAACGTCACTCAAGCCTATTAGGGCGATGAGTAGTTGAGGTGGAAACAAGGATCTCTATGGATGTATTGTAGGTATTTTTTTGAATGTCCTTTGGTTTTGTGTGATCTTCAGATTCATTAATTAATTCATTTACTTATTCACTTATTCAGCAAATATGTGTTTCGGGTGTCAATAGCTTGTCATGTGCTAGGCATACTAAAAGTATTAGACAGATATTAGTACTCCTGCTCTCTAAATCTCTACAGTCCACCTTAGGAAAAAAAAAATACTTGGGAGTGATTGGCATGCTATTTCATAGTTACAGTGGACATCAAAACTCAGAGCTGCATGAACAGGTGATCACAACTTAATTCCAAGTCCCCAAATTTGCTGCTTTAAGATAACTTATTTACAGAAAGTTTAATAATTTATTCTCTTCTAGTTAAATTCAGATTTCCCCCTCTCCTATTTCTTCTCCCTTGGATGGCAGAGGAAGTTTGTACAGATCAGGGGATTGGGAGATTCTTATGGTCCTGCTGTTCCAGCCTCTCTTCATAGTGTCTAATGCTGGCGCAGGTCCTGCAGGGTGTTGGCATGTTGAATAGAGATGGGGAGACATCTATTTTCTTGCTTTAGGTCTCTACTGGTAGGGATTTCTTTTGGTATAATGGTCTCAGTGTAGTAGTACAGATGCATTTCTAAGAATTCAACGTCATTCCAAATCCCTAGTGCCAGTTTGTTTTGATTTTTGGAGTGGCTGGCTTTAAAAACATGTTTTTTGCATTTTGTTTTTATTTCCCAAATATCAGTACCACTTACTTGATATTATCAAACATAACTTTTGAGTTTAGTCTTAACTATGATGGGATTTTCAAAAATACTAAAATGTGTAAAAGTATAAAATATTATGAATGGTGGAAAAATATAATTTTAGTATGCAGATCTGAAGATTAAAATTTCATATATGGCTATGTGGTCTTAGAGTGATACTCCAATAAAGTCAAATGTATTTTATACTAATTTATATTGCATATTTTTTTCTGCCATATATCTATTTGCTATTTTTTCTTTCTTCTGTAAGTACCTAAAAGTGAAAATTTAATAACGATTTTTTTTTCAGGAAAAGAAAAAACTTGAAAGTATACAAAAGTTAGAATTAATCCGTAAGTGTCCTTATTATGAGGAGTGGCCTACTTTATCCATATATGAGCTAATTGCACTCATTAAATGGAAGAAATTTCCTCCAGGTCATGGTGAGTTAAATGTGATTTTGGATTATTTTATTCATATAGCATTGTATTACTAGCATTTATAATTCTTCATTGTTCTACTATTTTTGCATAATATTTCTTCATGTGGGTATTCTTATTTAATTTTAACATTTAAGTTTGACATTTAAACTATTTCTTGTTTTTTATAAAAAATGATACTGTACTAGCTTGAAGAGTGGTTTTAGAACCAGCCTTACTTCCACATCCATCTATATCCCCCATAACTCTACCCTGACAAGTCAGAACAGGGGCGAAAAAGAAAAGGAGAAATATAACAAGAGATTATAGCTACTTTTCCCCTGTTCTTTTGGTTGGACAAATACTTAAATGGAAAGTGCGCTTATCTGCACCTTTCTTTGTTACACATTATCAGTGGAAAAAAATAATTGTAAAGAATTAGTGAAGCCTAGAAAAAAGGTAGCAGCAGTGAAGCAGCTACATCTTCAATAGTCGGCATGGCAAGAATGCATGGATTTCCTGGCTTAGGTGTACACAGAAAGCATAGGTGGCATTGAGTCATTTTGAACAATTTATCCATCTAGGAGGGCCAATTAAACAAGTTATGTCACACAAGCAGAACTTTGGTAGGGTGGGTCAGAACTTTAGGTGTCCTTCATTAAGAAATCACTATTGCTCATAAGAGACAGCCATGAACAACAGAGAGGATTGCAACTTTGCCTCTCCTCCCAGTTGAACTGGAGGAGCTAGTACTAGATAATAATGGAAAAGGAAGTGTCTGAAAGAAATACTCACCTCAAGCCTGCAGAGCCGCAATTGTAGTGAGGGGCATTTCTAAATTAAATTTGAGATGAAAGTTCGAAAAAGAATGGGTCTGAGTTTTAAATTCCAGAAAGAGGCTATTCTAATAATAAAACATGGCTGAGAAATCATGAAATCTGGCTAAGATATCCTTTGAGGGAGTCACTATACATCGTGAAGGTATAGTTCAGCATAGCACAGTACAAAGGGTTACTTCATGAAAAAAAATGCCATTGTTTTGAAGCAAGTTTATGCTTCAAAGAATGGGGATAATAATAAAACAGTTAAATTTGGTGAGACTGTAAACCCTTGTTCAAATTTGTTCCAAATTTTCTTCCAGTGCTATTTCATTTATATTTTATCATTTTTTAAATATAGCATTTTACCCATCTTTAAGTCAAATATATGTATGCATTTTCTCTTGCTTATACAAGTTGAATATTAGTAATATTTTGCTTTTCCTCGTGAAATATTTTTCTAATGAGGTATAAATGCCATTTTTTAGTCATAAGTACATATGAAATGCAAGTAGTGAATTCATTCATAAAAAAATTGGGAATTGAGCATTTCTAAACTCAGCATATTTATTGCATAGAAACAATTTCCCACTGCTGGGAATATACCCAGAGGAATGGAAGTCATCATGCCAAAGGGATACCTGTACTCCCATGTTTATTGCAGCACTATTTACAATAGCCAAGATTTGGAACCAGCCCAAATGTCCATCATCAGATGAGTGGATAAGGAAACTGTGGTATATCTACACAGTGGAATACTACTGTGCTATAAAAAAGAATGAAATACTACCATACACAACAACAGGGATGGACTTAGAGAAAGTCATATTAAGTGAATCAAGTCAGGCACAGAAAGAGAAATACCACATGTTCTCACTTATTTGTAGGAGCTAAAAATAAATAAATATACAAACAAATAAAGGGTGTGGGGGGGAAGAAGACACAACAATCATAACAATTCCTTGAACTTGTTAAGACAAGTGAACAGATATGATGTAGAGGGGGGAAAGGGAGAAAGAGGAATGGGTAAAGAGATGAAAATCAACTACAATGTATATTCAGAAGTTAAAAGAAAAAATGAAAAAAAGAGAAAGCACTCTAATGGGGGGAAAAGCAAAATCAAAAAAATGTCTATAGTTTAGTTAACAGTGTTGTACTAGTGTTAATTTCTTAGTTTTGGTCAATGTACTGTGGCTATCTAACGTAGGAGAAGCTGGGGGAGGAATATATGGGAACTATCATTGCAGCTCTGCAAACGTAAAATTACTATTATTTATTTTAATGCAAAATAAAGTTTATTTTAAAAATGAAAAAAAATGTGCATGTTTTGGATTTATCATGGTTTCCCCCCTTTGTATTAAAAATATCAAATCCTAGTCCTTTCCTTACTTCCAGTGCTATTTTGTATAAAAAATAATATATCAACCCTGTTAATTATTATTATGTTAATATTGTTGATGTGATCAAAAAGGAGGAAAGAAATCTTATCAAAGAAATTTTAGCTGGCTAATTACTCAGTTGGTTAGATCACTGCCTTATAACACTAGGGTCATGGTTTCAGATCCCATACCAGCCAGCTGCCAAAAAAAAAAAAAAAAACAAGTCAGGCACAGAAAGAGAAATACCACATGTTCTCACTTATTTGTAGGAGCTAAAAATAAATAAATATACAAACAAATAAAGGGTGTGGGGGGGAAGAAGACACAACAATCATAACAATTCCTTGAACTTGTTAAGACAAGTGAACAGATATGATGTAGAGGGGGGAAAGGGAGAAAGAGGAATGGGTAAAGAGATGAAAATCAACTACAATGTATATTCAGAAGTTAAAAGAAAAAATGAAAAAAAGAGAAAGCACTCTAATGGGGGGAAAAGCAAAATCAAAAAAATGTCTATAGTTTAGTTAACAGTGTTGTACTAGTGTTAATTTCTTAGTTTTGGTCAATGTACTGTGGCTATCTAACGTAGGAGAAGCTGGGGGAAGAATATATGGGAACTATCATTGCAGCTCTGCAAACATAAAATTACTATTATTTATTTTAATGCAAAATAAAGTTTATTTTAAAAATGAAAAAAAATGTGCATGTTTTGGATTTATCATGGTTTCCCCCCTTTGTATTAAAAATATCAAATCCTAGTCCTTTCCTTACTTCCAGTGCTATTTTGTATAAAAAATAATATATCAACCCTGTTAATTATTATTATGTTAATATTGTTGATGTGATCAAAAAGGAGGAAAGAAATCTTATCAAAGAAATTTTAGCTGGCTAATTACTCAGTTGGTTAGATCACTGCCTTATAACACTAGGGTCATGGTTTCAGATCCCATACCAGCCAGCTGCCAAAAAAAAAAAAAAAAAATTAAATTATGTTAGCCAAAAGAATATAGAACTTGAATAGGAGGGGATGGGTTTGTGCTTTTAATATATATTTTTTTACTGATGATAATAATCTGTCTTTCAACCTGAAATATTAATCTTAAATACTTAAATTTAGCATCAAAGGGATAAGAAGCTACTGGGATACTTAACACATTCTTTCTTAGACTAATGTTGAGTTCAAATTCTTTTTGATAAATGTCTTAAAAGCTAATGGTGATGTTTATTAAACTATCTTTTGCATTGGACTACCTATGATTATATTTATTAAGTCAAAAATAATAATATTTTCCCGTTTATTCTAAAACGTATGAATATATGCTGCTTTCACTTGTACAGCTTCAGGAAAACATTTATCTTTCTTAGAGAAGAAGGACAATTTCACCTGATAATTATTAAAGCCCCTTTCAGCTCTGAAATACTATGGTTTTTATAAATAAACATATGTAGGTGAAGAATAAGTCCTGTCAAACTAATCTAATTTTCTTTTACAGCAGTGACACACTTGATGTATCAAAGAGAAGCATTGGATATAATACTTCTAGACTTTGACCAAGGTTTATTTTGAAATTTTATCAGAAAATGTAGAGAATGTAGCTCAAATTATTCTTTCATTACCTGGGTTTAAAATTAGCTGTACTATGATTTCCAAAGCATACCGAGTGTTTTGATCTTATTTTAGGAATGTATATTGGATGAAGTTTCAGAGGCATTTAGTTAATTACTCAAAAGCTTAATAGAGTGTAGGATTAATCCTTGGCAATTTATGAAATAAGTAAAACTTGTTGCTGGTATATTTGCTTTGCTAACTTAAGTCTTCCTTAACTTTGCCTCATATTCCAAAGGAGTCTGACTATAATTAATGCATACAGTGTTAACTTGTAATTTGGGCCTGTCTATTTGGTATCACATCATCTGAAGTATTCTGGGTATGATTCTTTCAAAGTGTGGCTGAAAAACGGCAACCAGTCTGTCTGGTATTGAAGATGAACGCCACAGGGCAGACCATCCCCATTAATTTTCTAGGAAAAAATTAATCTTGTTCATGCCCTGTTTGAGAACTGACAACAGCAGAAACAATAGCCAATGCTGTAAACACCTCATTCGGTTCAGATTACATAATTCAGACTGAAAAATTATAATTAAGCAAATTTTTTTCTGCTCATTGGGTGTCAAAACTGTTGTACCCAGCCAAGAGGGGAACTTTCAATAGAAATTTTTAAATAAGTGGGATCAAGATCCTAAACATTTCTTCAAAGAATTGTAATAAGAGATGAAACATGACTTTCCAGTAAAATCCTGAAGACAAAACACAGTCAAAGCAATGCCTGCCAGGAGGTGGAAGTGGTCCAGACAAAGCAAAAGTGGACTGGTGAACAGAATGTCAGGGCAATGGTTTTTCGAGGTGCTCAAGGCATTTTGCTTATTGCCTTTCTGTAGGGCCAAAGGATGATAACATCTGCTTCTTGTGAAAGTGTTTTGAGAAAGTTAGCCAAAGCTTTAGCAGAAAACCTTCCCAGAAAACTTCACCAGAGAGTCCTTCTCCACTACAACAAGGCTCCTGCTAATCAAACAAGAGCAATTTTGTGAGAATTTCAATGGGAAATCATTAGGCATACACCTTATAGTCCTGATTTGGCTTCTTCTGACTTCTTTTTGTTTCTTAATCTTAAAAAATCTCTAAAGGGTACCCATTTTCCTTCACTTAATAATATAAAAAATATTTCATTGACACAGTTAAATTCCCAGGATGCTTAGGTACTTAGAGATAGACTAAATGGCCATCATTTCTTACAAGGGTGTCTTCAACTTGATGGATACTATGATG